CAAAAACATGTGGGCTGGTGGATGGTGTCTCTCCAAGGCTCCTCCGAGCTGCCCCTGTGTTCTTCCCTGTACTGTGCTCCTCCCTGTTCCTGCTCCTCTCTGTACTGTACTCCTTCCTGTACTGTGCTCCTCCTTGTACTTTCTCCTCCCTGTACTTTGGTCCTCCTTGTACAATGCTCCTTCCTGTACTTACTCCTCCCTGTTCTTGCTCCTGCCTGTAAGGTGCTCCTCCCTGTACTGTTCTCCTCCTTGGCTGCCATTGCAGCTGCCTTTCCTGCCCGCCGGTACCTTGCAGTTCTATAACATGGTTGGAGGCCTTATTGACCCCCACAGCTCCTGCTCCTGCTATGGCCTCCCTTAGCAAACAGGCCACTGGAAAGAATCCAGACAAAATACAAGCCAACACCCACCCCCCATGAGGTACAAGGCACCAGAAAAAAATTAGAGCGCCCAGTCTTGGAATAGGGTTCAGAGACCCACTTGGCGGTCGGGCCACCCACATAACCCGTCCATGGCCAGCCCAAAATAGTCATGTGGAGCCATCTTGTGGGCTCAGCACCCGCAAGGTAAAAGGCGGAGATCAGATGCAGTGCTGTTTGGGTGGCAAGCAAGAGCAGAAAAAATCTAAATGCAAACTAGGGATTCCCAGGCCCCACTCTGTGTACTGGTACCAGTGTGTAGCCAGTATTTCAGGGGGCCGCGGAATGCGGGGGTTCTGCAGTGTGTTTAGTTCATGTCCGAAAGTAAACTATGCATTTTCATTTTTTTCATTACCTCTCATGTTCAAGCATTCTGTTCACATCTGAAAAAAAAATGGAAATGGTTAATCTTATAAAATTGCTGATTGATCTGCTGGCTCTGCTGGTGGGAACGCCTAAAGGTGGGAATCCCTAAAGTAAGTCTCTGGGGTTAATGAGTCAGTACACAGTCCATTTTTAGTAAATAGCAGTATATTGTTATTGGGCAGTGACGGTACTACAGGGGGTAAAGTCAGCCTCAGTTGCAGTCAACCCCTTAAAGCAGCGCTGGCCAATCTTGTCCACAAAGGGCCGGTGTGTATGCAGGTTTCTGGGGTAACCTTTAGGCCAGCTGTTCAAACCCAGGTGTGAGGACTCCTCAGCCAATCAGTCCTCTAATTAGTAATATAATTAGGGAGCTGCAGCAAAATCCCGCATACACCCCGGCCCTTTGTGGATAAGATTGGCCACCCCTGCCTTAAAGCGACATAGGCGGCCATCTTCTTAGGGGTGCCGGATTAGCAGGTGAGATTCATTGTCAAGCTTGCCTACGGTGCCACTTGGGCTTTTTCCTGCACTTCTGCAGTGGTCGACTACACTGTGTGTTATATGGTCATGTAAGTGTTGCTAACAAACAGTGACACTGAGTCAAAAAGGAAGGAAAGGAGTTTGCTGTTGGCATCACGCTACTTTTTCTCTGATGCAGCGTGTCAGCCATCACTGACACCATCCTCCCAGTAATGACGTCTTCCCACCGACCATGTCCTCCCAGTGACGCCGTCCTCCCAGTAACGATGTCTTCCCACCGACCATGTCCTTCCACCAACGCCTTCCTCCCACCGATGCAATCCTCTAACCTCCTCTCAGCTCACTGTTGCCAGGGTGCACGGAGTGGCGAAACAGGCACGTTGGTTGCCCCCTGCCCTGGACACCCCCTGTGGAGCATCCCATGGGCTTCCTGCCTGTTGCCTGGTGAAGGTGCTCTCACCCCAGCGTGAGGTACGCTTCCTCCATGCATCAGCGCGTCCGTACGATCTGAGCTGGGATCCAGAAGTGGTCCGGCTGGTGTGTTCTGCTCATCCTGGAGCTCAGATCTTGGGCCCCTGCTACTCTGAACCTATGCTCCCCCCCCCACCCACCCAAGTAATAATCCTCTATCCGTGTACTGCTTAGCCCCCGCAGGGATGTGCTAATGGTATACTGAAAATGGGGAGGGGGGGACTGCTCTGCCACTCTGAGTCAACTATGCGGCTGAATCAGTGTGGGTCCTCATTAAAATGTTCAGTGAAACAGAAAACTGCAGAAGATGATTGATGATTGCAGATATTACTTAAGGTAAAATGACAATTAAACACTCGACAACAGTGTGGCAATCGAGCCATCCTGACAATACGTAATTAATTAAGCCTTCAAGTTCTTATCTCTGGTGGGGGGGTGTTTTATTCTTCTGTTATATTCTGCTTCAATAAATATCCATCTGTTTAGCTGGCTGAAATGTGAATGACAGCATGCGGTGAACGCCTGCTCACTTATGATTCATTCATCCACCAGATTTTAGTTACTACTTATCTAGGTAGGGCTGCAGTGGGCTGGGTCTGCACAGAACCACCTGGGGAGTCTGAAGGGCATGGAACCTCTCATGGGGTCAAGGACTCAGAAGTCATTTATACAAATGAAATTACAATGAAATACTTGCTTGTGCACCTCCCTGCAGCCTTAAACAACACATAACAATAAAGAACGATAAGCAGCAAATAACAGGGTAGTGAGGACATGAACATACATATAATATACATACAATATATTCAGTATACATACAATATACATGTAATATACAGTATACATGCAATATATTCAGTATTCATACAGTATACATGTAATATTCTGTATACATTTGACGTACAGTATGCATACAATATACATGCGATATACAGTATACATGTAATATACTATATACATTCGACGTATAGTATGCATACAATATACATGCGATATACAGTATACATACAATATATTCAGTATACATACAATATACAGTATATGTATACTATACATGTAATATACTGTATACATTCGATGTACAGTATGCATACAATATACATGCAATATACAGTATACATTCGACATACAGTATGCATACAATACATATCAATATAGAATAACATACTGAAGAAGTAGGACAGCAAAGTGCTGAGGTTTAAAGTGCGAGTGGTTAATAAACAACAGTGGTGACTGACATTTTACTGTGAGTTATCAGTGCATATTTAACATTCTTATTACTATGGAGAAGAAGCTGTTCCTGAGTCTCGTAGTCTGGGTCCTGACAGACCTGTAGTGCCTTGTGAGGGGAGGAGGGAGAAAAGCGGCAGGGGTCAGTCACTGTGCCCTGAGCTTTTCTGAGACTGACCGAGAGCCAGATTAAAACCACAATGCTTTAAGGTGTAAGGGGCTAACAGGATGTAGGCAGCCGCTGACCCAGGCCACCGCTCACTCAGTTTGCATTTACATTTACATTTTACACATTTAGCAGACGCTTTTGCTGAACGTGACATACAAGTGAGGCAAAGAGCACATTCCAATCTACGTGCTGCCAAGAAGAAAACTAGATATGACTGCAGCTAAACTGAGCTTCCAATGAACCCCCAGGTACAAGTGTAAGCAGTATTGGAGCAGGAGCTACAGAACAACTTCTGTACAAGAACACAATAAGACAATTCAATGATCAGAAGTGCGACATGAAAACATTCAGGCAACATAAAGAGGCATCGGGGTAGCAGAGGAGTTCATGGAACAGATGGGTCTTGAGGTGTTTCTTGAAGGTGGAGAGGGAGTCGGATGACCGGATGTGGTTCGGTTGCTCGTTCCCCCATGAGGGAACCACACAAGAGAACCATCTGGGGTGATGCGTCTCATTTGGTAGGAACTCCAAATGGCTTTGGTTTGCATGTAAGAAGACAAATTTTACAAGTTCATCTGAATTGGGGCTGTTTTAGAAGAACTGAGTAGCACATGTCAGGCAGATCCACATCTGAACAACCTTCAGCGGTATGACACCACATTTTAAGGAACAGGCTGTTTGAAGAGCCTGAATGCTGTGCAGGTGGAAAGCATGAAGATTCTGGCGGCCTGTGCTGCTGTTCGAAAATCCAGGAGCCCTTCCCAGAGTGTGAGGAACACGAGGGCTGAGTTGCTTAGCGACACGCCTGTTGATGTCCAAACAATGCTGCTGTCACTTGGCCAGCTGCCCGTCTGGGTTCCATCTAACTTGCAACAATGTCACTACTGTCCCAGGCTGAGATGTACCATGCAACTCAGTGTTGCTATGGAAACGCCAATTGGTCTCACAAGCAGCCTGAGGTGCAACAGCATTAATAATAGTAATAATAACACCAATCTTTAAATAGGCCCAGTCAGTGATTAGTTAATTCATTCAAAGTACCTGAATGTATCAGACATCTGTGTTGCACAGACAGAGACAGAGCTGTGTTTACATTAACATTTCAGATGGTCTCTAGACGGTCTCAGTGTTTACAGTAATGTACAAGATGGTTACAAACAGACCTACAGTGCTGTATTCTCCAGTAGGGGGAGAGATTGAAGAGATGTTCCATTTGGGGTATATAAATATTCCTAATGGCTTTGTAATGAAGATTTTGGGCGAATTTTTCAGGCTGGCCAACAATGTAGCTCAAATTGCACACCTTGTCTTTATTCTGCCAAAATCTTTTAAAAAATTCTAACTGCTCTGTTATATTTGCTTCAGTTCATTAACCCAGGGACATAGCAACCAGCCGGAACATACACTGCAAGTACTTAAATTATAGATTCATTTGCCACCCCCAATAAATAGACCATTGTATTTAAATGATGAAATTGTGCCCCCCCATTATGACACATTCTCCAACGCAGTTGCATTAAGCACAAAAGATTTTTCATTAAATAAATGTGTTAGTGGTCAACGTGAAATCTGTAAAATAATTATCATTGTTTCCCATATTTACTGTTGACAATGGACAGTTGATGCAAGCTGATAATTTCAATATGATATATTAATATGGGGAATAGGTAATAAAGAGAGAAACTGAAAGTGATGGACAGTAGTGTAGTTAATGGACCAGACTTCTGAAGAAACTGAAGGCCCCCGTCTCTTCTTTCCGGGACCGGCGGGATGCCCCCTAGCGGCAGCGGCGAACTCTGATTTCTATCCACCCCCCCCCCCCCTTTTCTCCCCCCCCCCCCCCCTCCGCCCGGATTCCGGGCTTGACTTCCCCAGCTGACGTCAGCTGGCAGCCTCGGCTCTGCTCGCCGCTCCGGACACAGCGCCGTGAAAATGCTGCTCTCCGTGCCGCCGAGGACAACGATCAACCCTTACCATGGATACAACAGCAGAAACGGCAAAAAGGTAAGACAGCTGAGTGGTTTTCATTCTTTTTTGGGGGTGTGCAACCTCCTCCCCCCCGTGTGTGTGGCGGCGGTGGCGGCGGCAGCCCGTTCCGTGCATGACTGTAAGCTGCAGTGTCCTTGAAAGAGGAGCCCTGGAAAAGCTACTGGTTTACCGTAGTGCACCGTTCTTACGCACTACGGAGGTCCGATCGCAGAAACGTCTGCGCCTTTTCCACCTGGACTTACTTTCAGACTCCAGTGTCCGGCGCGGCTTTTCCCCTGCCGTGTGTTTGACTGCCCCCTTAGCAAACACACAGCACGGCACTTTCGCCTGGTGTAGGGCTCTGCTGGCGGACGGTAAGGGGACTGGAAAGAAAGTGGAGCTGGAAATCGCTTCTTCCCACGTACCATTAGTATTTCGCAGGAATAACTTCCGTGAACTTTGTATCTCGCACAGAATATATATATATATATATATATATATATATATATATATATATATATATATATATATATATATATAAAATAATAATATGTCCCACCCCTTGAGAATGTAAGACTCCCGAGATGAATCGTCTTCTTCATAAAGTGATGAACTGTAACCGACCGCACTGTACTGTAAACAAGGCTGTACCTGAGGACTTTGTTGCGGTATTTTTACTTTTGCAAAATAAAAGTTAATGTAAATAGCCTATATACATGTCTGTTACATGGGCTTAGTTTAAGGTAAGTGCGAGTGAATAAAAATGTTTTACTACATTTGCGTAACACTAGGAATCATTTGCCCTGCATCATTATTATATCCCTTGACATCAACTGTGTATTATCATCGTTTCTTTGGAAAGAAAATTATACCACGTTATGTTGAAATTTAAGTCGATTCCTATTTTGATTCGGTTACAAAGGTATTGTTTTTTTTCTAAAAATGTACAGAAAATTAAAGATTAAAAATAGGCCTAAATACGAATTAGTGAAATTAAATGTACAGTACACCTACTGTAACCGTTTTTATTTGATGAACAGTCTGTTCAAATTTAAACATATTAATTATTATATGTACTTTTAACTACCCTTTAAAAGTTAAGAAAATGGGCATGTAAGCTTAGCGGAGTGCCAGAAATCCCGGCGAGCAGAAGTGACATGGTGACACGTACAGACTGAAATACTGACTGGAGGCTCATTTTTGGACTGGAGTGTTTTAACGTTTCCATCATTTGCGCTTTCCGTCTTTTAATAACAGCCATCTCCGTGCAAAATAAGGCTTTACTTGGCCGTCGTAAAACTCGCTGAGAATTGCAGTTGTTATTTCGGATCGACTAAAGAAATCTAAGCAAGTTTTTATAAGCTGTTTACTGGATTAATTGCAGCTTTTAAAAATTGGACTATGTTAAAATGTACCTACTGACCCAGGAGGCTGAGTGGGATATTCTGATCGATGTAGTCCATGCTCTGTTCAAAAAGCCTTGATGAATGGAATTGCTCATCCTGTCCCAGTGTTTATTTGGAAGAACTAGAGAATATTAAGAAACAGATTGGCAGCTTCACATTTTCATTTTAGCGCGATCTTCAGCGAGATTTGGGTATAGCGTTGATAGGGACCTCGGCTACGCGCCTGGCGGCTTTGAGGGGTGTGACCACCCTCCGCCGTATCACTGACAAAGGAAGGCACCGGTGCGGACTGGGACACCCCCAAGATAATTCCAAAACAAGCTTCTCGTGATGCATTCCTTCCTGAAGTTGGGAGAGAATGTTTCATCCGGTGTCACTACTTTGAAAGCAAAAATTAAAATATAGGCTACTTGATAGTAGAGAAAATTGGAAGCCGGGGTTGGTGCCGACCAAATAATTGGCTTCAAATTTCAAGATTAGTTATTCGATTAATTTAAGTATAGGCCTATGTTAGTATAGCCTGCTTGAAGTATTAGGCCTGTATATTGACATTTGTTTTCACGTTATTTGACAAAGGGTATAGGAATTGGATGGATGGATGAAACACCTGTATTGTCATGGTAATTGAATTTAATAATACTATGCAAGTAGCTTGTGCCTTAATGATATCTTATTGTTTTTATGTTTTAGTTTATATTAGACTATCAAATAGACGATTTCGAAATTCTGTTCGATCCCACGGGCTGCGTCTTTCTGTTTTGTGGGTCGTGTTTTTAAACAATGACAACCAATCAGCTGCCTGTTTCACGTAGGCCTATTCATTTTTTATCTTTTAATTTATTTCTTTCGTTATTTATTTTGCCTTTGCAGCCATGGCTCATCATGCATCCCTGAAAATATTATGTAAGGACGATCAAATCGGTCGAACAGCTTACGAACACATCATTATAGTATCCAGCACATCAAAATAAATAAATAAATAAAAATTTAAAACCTGTCAGGAATACTCAGTGCTGTTTATTTATTCTTTTGCTCTTGGCTGAGTCCATCGTTATGATTCATTCCCTCCACAAACAGGTAGATGCATACTCTAATCTTTAAACAGGTTCTTGAATCGTCCTTGACGCAGTGAAACAGCACGCTGTTAGTTTTAATGCTTGCGGGACACTGACCCGCTCATAATGTACCAAAGTGTTAAATTATAATTGAAGATATATTGCTGAAATGGAAGGCAGGCTATTTCCCCGTGGCGCTAATGCTCACAGCATGAACCAACGACGCTAAAACGCAAGCGATAAATAATCATCATGTACAGTTTCTGCTGCCTGTAACTGAGCTGCCTAAGCACACATACATAAGCGTGCTGACTAACACCGCTGGGATGCTTATGGAAACGCAGGTCACTGGGTGCGTACTTAAGTGCATTAGCCAACAATGCCACGGTGCTCATGTGTACACTTAAGTGTGCTCAAGTGGGCCAATTTGCAACAATGCGGTACTCAATATTTAATTGAGTCCTGCATTTATCCTGTGTTTCTTATTTTTTGCCTTTCTATATGCTTTTTGGGTATATTCTTATGAAGCAAGCCTTGTTATTAATTTAAGTATATGTATGATGTGTACAGTAAGTGCATAAGTGGGAAAATTTTACAATTGGAGTGCAGTGAAAACATACAAGTTGTTCTGTTTCTTTTAAGACCCCCCGGCTGAATAAAACTTGTGACAGGCAAGCTGAAACATTCTGTTAATGCTTTGTTCTTCACGTTCTTACCGCCGGTGATGTTTCCAATATAGTGCAATGTTCTCAGTTTATCTACGGGCGGACACATAGCTGGTATCTTTCGTGAGTTTGTTTTTTCTTCCTTTTTGTAGGCTATGCATTGCTTAAATCTATAATAAATACTTTTAAAATGCAAGTCTGTTGTAAGGCTTCATTATGCAGTGATCTTTCATGGTAATCTCTCTTCCTATTTAAACTGGCATGATCTTAACAAAACAGGGTATTTTGTTTCCGAAGTCCTTTCCTCTGCGCCTGTGAAGCTTCAATGGTTTTCATCTTCGTTTAACGTTTTAGCAGTCAGATAATTATAACGAGCAATAAGGCTGGAACTTAACCTCGGTATCATCGCGGTTTTGCTCGAGTCACAGTTCTGGGACGCGAACCAGAATTCCTTACTGCTGGAGTGTCAGGCATTGCCGAGCGAGGGCAGCGGATGTGGTTTCCGGTGAATATACGGTGTAATCTGCCTGCACCTCCACGGGGGATGGCATGGAAAATCACCCCAGTCACCTCCAGAAGACATGCTGCTGCGCAAATGCAAGGGTGTTGATTGCAGAGCTTTATTACACGGCGAGTCTGAGAACGCAGAGACGGTTTTGTGTTCCACCGCCCGCACCGCTAGCACTCCGCGATCCGACGAAGGAGCAAACGGGACTTTTCTGGAAAGATCTCGGGTTCTACCATAGCAGCGTTTGTAGTATTTTTTGCTGTGTTTCTGTTTTCGGTTACTAAGTGGAAAATCGGTACGTTCTCACCCTTACGGATAGGTCACCTGACACCCATCTCCAGCGTGTGGGTGACGCGCCGAATATATTGTGCAGGAACTTTAAACTTAGCCTAAAACCGTCTTATGAGACTTGGGCCCGATGTGGTAAAATCCGCACGGAGCAGAGGACTGCACCGCTCGTCTGCCGCTTTAAGGGGAACATCTACAGGGCTTGAGGAATGAAAATCACAGGCGTGGTCCTCATGCCTCTGGTGACGTGCTTCCGCTCTCCGCTGTGCTGTGACACGGCTCCCTGTCCTCAGGGAGTCACAGGGCTGGCTGTCTGCAGCTGGTAGGCTCCGGTCTGAGGGCGCAGGATGGAGCGTGTTACCCGATCTCTCAGAGAGGGGATTGGGGAGTCCTGCAGGTTCATATAAAAAGGGCATAACCTTGGTCAGAGATGGAGCCACCCCCCCAGCTAGTCAAACCCCCCCCCCCCCCCAAGCCAGTCAACCCCAGACTGAGGCGTTGTGATTCATTAGTGCCACGAGGAAAAGGAGATGAACAAATTTGAAGGTTATGAAAATGAAAGTGCCAGAGACTCCAAATGGGGGTCTGGGGGGGGGGCGACGGCTGTGTTCTTGCTAACGCCGGTGTTTATTCCCCTTGACTTGCTCAACGATTCCTCGGTGGGGAGTTCACGTGGAGGTCAGACACCCATGCAGTGGATTCCTGACATATCTCTTTTCCCATACCTGTGGTTTGAGAATAAATAAGGGAGGGGGACACAGAACAAAATAAATGCTGCATGGAAGGAAGGGGGGGGGGGTAAAGCAAAAGGCTCTTTGTGTGGGAAATCATTACAAAACCAGATGGCCAAGGGTTCAGTTACACTGCTGCCCCCACTGACACCCCCGCGCCAATCCCCCCATTTCCTGTGCCAAATTAACGTCATTAAAGATGTAGAAGAGAGCCTAACTTGACTTTCTCTCTACTTTTATACAGGTTTGTAATTTTATCTTGATAGTGATGCCTGGTCACAAGGCTTGCTTTTTGCAGGAACTAGATGTGATAATTATTCTGAAAATATTTGTTACTTTTGAAGCATAGTGCTCTTTACTAGTTGAATACACTATGAAACATT